GTCGGCTCTTTATCTAATTTGTCCGGCACTGATGGGTGCAAATTTGACAGCTGCGCTCAAGGCATTGGCGCAGACCAGTAAACAGACTTTTACCGAGCGCGATATCGCCAGCTTGCTGCATGTGCTACATGCATCATTCGTCTTCTTTACTTCATGCGCAGTACTTAAGGTTTCAAACCCGAATGTGACACTAACAGTTCATGTGTGATGCATATATCCGAGAACTGTTTACTGAAATGTGCGTAGGGTGGGAATTAATTGTATATCAAGATGTGTTTTCTCCCCCCCCCCCCCACCTCTTTCTGTCTTAGTCTATGATACCCTTAGACTGATGTTTCTGCGAAGATGTGTGGTCTGTCATTTGGTAGGAACTCCCGAAAACACATGGATAAGAATGGGGGAAAAGTTTTTATTTTTATTACTTAGCTCTCCCTATGCTCTTCAACAAACTTGAAATTTGTCTCTACTTGAACAAATTTTTCTTGCTAGGATGCAACCTCAATCCTGAAAAATCCTCCAACTGCCTCCATGTAAAAATTGCATACAGCCTCAATCCTCCAAAATCCTCAGTTATTTCCTGAATGTGGTCCTTGGAGGGGTGACCACTGCCTCAATCCTGCAATATCCTCCAGCCATCACTGTCAGTATGTTGAGGCAGAGCCAGTAACATCCTGGAGCAATGCGGAGGGTGTCAAGTAAATCTAGGCCTAAATGTACATGTATGCATGGCTGAGCATAAAGAACACGAGGTCTGGCCCAAGACCTTGATACAGTGCATCCTCCAAAATCAGCCACACATTTTTGCCATATAACCTCAATCCTTCAAAATCACAAAGAGGATTTGGGAGGATTTGGGAAGGTTAGGGTTAAAGAACAAAATCTTTCCTCTATTTTTGTTTTTCTGCTTCCCTCTGGGAATTTTTATTTTTTTATTTTGGCCTGTTCCGCTCCTGTAATGCACAAAAAGATCTGCCAGAATTATTGTCAGACCAAAAGAATTCGAATGGAAATTTCCAAAAATGCGGACTTGACTCATCTTTGGAAATGACCTTCCTTGATTGTTTACTTAAATAAGACAGCATGCCAGAAGGACTAATTTCACAGGGAGTTTAGTGCCATTAAACCAAGGAAGGCCAAAAAATAAATAAAAACACTTCTGCTTCTGATTACATGGCATTTGAAAATAGTGTAGGTATAGGTAGGGAATTTTTTGGGGGAGGGGCATTGATCATATTTAGGTGTCTGTGTGTAGTCGAGGGTAAAAGGTACTAATTGATGTGGTGTTTTTGTTTGTTTGTTTTTTCATCTCCCCCCCAAAAAACATTAGGGTACGGGCTGTCAAAATAGGGTAGGTTGGGTAACCAGAAGCAGAATATTGTTTTTGGCCTAGCTTTTTAACAATAATTTGGTCAGTTACTTTTTGGATAGCTGCAAATGATCTACTCTACTGTACCGGTACCTTTAAAGAGGTTGTGGAATGCTGGAAGACATTTCCGTCATTTTTCGGCTATATGTAGCCTAAGATGTGATGAAATAAAAACGACTATTGTGTCTGTCATGAAATGAGTACAAAAGGTACTTTTGAGAGCTGTTTTACAGGTCCTGTTTTGACCCGAACGTGCAATTTGTGTAAAAATCGTCGTTGGGGGCAGCAAACAAAACAGACTAAATCGTGACTTAATAAACAGGACTTGTTTGTAGTACGCTGCATCGGGAGTCCTGTTTATTACGTCAAGATTTACTATGTTTTGTTTGCTGCCCCCAATGACGACTTTTACACAAATTGCACGTTCGGGTAGAAACAGGACCTGAAAAACAGCTCTCAAAAGTACCTTTTGTACTCATTTCATGACAGACACAATAGTCGTTTTTATTTCATCACACCTTAGGCTACATATACCCGAAAAATGACGGAAACGTCTTCGAGCATTCCACAACCTCTTTAATATTATCTGTCAGCGGCAAAGTGTGTTGTTTGTGTCGTACATGAGGTCTGATCGTCAAAGCTTCTATCTGATAGAGAGCTTGGCAAGGATTAGACATTTATCCACAGAGGAAGAAAAAAAAAGTAGAACGCATATCACAGAGGGACACATAGACTTAATGATGTCATCTCCTACGTGATGCAACGATGCGGTTGTCATGGCGATCTGCACGATAAGATCAGGTGGAGACAGGGAAGAGAAAAAGTACATCCCCCGGAGTCGTCTGTGACTGGTGACAGCTCTCGATTGTTATCGCCTCGGCCGACTCGAAAGCCCTGAAACGATAGATGTCTTCAAGCCCCCTCTTCTCCAATTGATTCAATTGTGGAATATTCAAATTTCCGTTTAATCGAATGTAATTCAAAAGTTAAGAGGGGCTGGCATTTCAATCTACAAGTAGGCCAGCCAAATGTGGGAAAAGTTCTCTAGAAATTAATTTCACGGCATTTTTTTGGTAATAGCTGGCATCCATGCTAGATCAATTCTTTGAACCATAACAAACAAGACGTGGGTGGATGCCATCGTTAATTTTGACCCTAAAATATACCTTATTGGCATAAATTGTTTATGTTTATGCAAATTAGGTATATTTGGGTCAAAATTAAGGGTGGCATCCACCTACATTTTTTTCTCCATCCTTTGACTGATTGATCTGACATGGTTGCCTGCTATTACCTAAAAATGCCGACCAAAGTGTGATATTCCACATTGGCTGGTCCACTATATAGTGTTATAGAATCTTGTTTTATTCTTTCTCAAACATTTTAATATTTCAGGTCACCGCAGTCAAAAAAGCAGTTTGCAGAAACTTTTTCATTTCACAGGAATTTCAATAATATTCCTGATACTGAACAAGGATTTTGGGTTAACATTGTTAATAATTAACTGAAAAAACACAAATTCACAATGGTACACCATAAAAAAACCTTTCAGTTATCAACAACTTCTGCTAGTAATATTAACAATGAATAAACAAAAAAATCATTAAAAAATAAGAAATTCAGATCTTCTATTGAAAGATAGTTATATTTGTTTTGACACGATTCCCTCTCTTTCAAAAAAAATAGGGATAAAAACTATAAATTGAAAATACAATTGATCAAATATTTGAAGGATTGGCATACATACATGTACATGTAGTCTTGTACCCGCTATACTGGGTAAGGCCCAAAAAAAAAGTCTCCGGTTTCTGGTATGGAGCTTGCCCAAAAAGTTGTGCGGCGACGCGGCCTTTTGGGGTTTTTTTGACCTGATTTTTTTGCTTCAAATGTCGGCTGATGACTGCAAATGGTGTCCGACTAACCTTAGTGCAAATATATGGGAGTCCAGAGAGGCCACATAAAGCTTATTCTCGATCTAAAAACACGTTAAAATTGTGCAGCAGCAGGATTCCAGTCAAACCAGTGAGTTTGGCGGTTTTGAGACATCATCTTCCATTGAAATTTTTTTTCTTTTCATTTTGCCGATGCGCATGGCTACGGCGACGCGCGCGCATACCAGAAACCGGAGACTTTTTTTTTTGGCCTAATCCATAATAAAGGGGACTTGGAGGCATTTCAGATAACTTGTAATTGTGTTTAAAATGCTGAAGGATAAACGTTGGACGTTAACGTTAAAGGTTTCTGCTGGCTCTGGGTAATTTCAGTCTGATAACATGCATGCTGAGATCACAATCTTGCCTTGAGGAGTTCATTGGAAAACGGTGAAAGTCGATATTTGAGTAGTCTGAGGCTGTTACATGTGTGTTTTTTGCTTTGTTTTTTTTAAACAGCAAAGATCTTATTTTGTTATTTCTTGAGAAATTCTGGTTATTGAATTTCTTTTTTAAAATGTGTGTTTGTTTTTATAAATTTAAGCGCACATATCCACCATTACTGGTAGTTGTGCTCAATGCGCCACATCATTATTACCTCTGCTCATCAGGCCAATGAAACGTTCCAAAGACCATCTTAGCTCCCTGGGGAGTATATAGCTTGATGCTGCCATTTCAGCGCAAAGCCGAAATCAATCAGAATAACCTCTGTCCTTACAGGTCTCTCAAACCCACAACCTGCAGAATTTTCCGCACACCAAGAGTTGAATGGTCCAGACCATGAGGCCACAACACTCCACACTAAAAAAGATACATTATTTTCCAAAGTTATTGGTCTACTTTATGAGATGTACATGTAAACAAAGTAAACAAGTTTGAGTCAGCTGGCTTACCCTAGCAAACTTGGTCGATTTGGTAAGACATCCGCAGCCGATATCACAAAACGTTACGCAGTGGCGTTATAACTCCACTTACGCCATCATTTATTGGGTTGCAGTTTTGACACATTTCCCAAAAACTGCACAGTGCGTAAGCCAGCAACTAACGCATTATGGCGTAACTTATGCAGTCATTTTAGGTGGCGCAAGTCGTGCCGTAAATGGACAATTTCGTTGACTGTAATCGTGATTGTTGTTGAGCCTGTCATTGCTGAACTTATCCAAGATGATACAAGAAACTCACAGCTTTGTTTTCAAAGTCAACAAATTGCCATTTCACCTGTGACAGAAGTTAAGTGTTGCCACATGATTCAGAGGAAAGTAGGACAAACATTGCTTTTCAGAATAAGAGGTGGGTGTGATTCAACAACTGTTTTGTGACCAAACAGAACTCATACACAGCCATCGTCCAAGAGGTTTGAATAATTTCAAACGTTGGACAGGTACGCCAAGTTTCACGAAACGGTTCGTAAGTTTATTGCATAAGTTTGTAAGTTTAATCCTGCGCATGGCGTAAGGTCACAATGTTTTGTGAGATTGGTTGCTGCACTAGTAAGCAGGAGGTGATAGGTTCGAGTCCCAACTGAGTCAGATTCTTGTCCTTTGAGGATGTCGGAAAGCACCGAACATTCATCGGTAAAGGGCAAAACAGAGGATTTCAATTTGTATCACCCACACTCAAAATGTTAACACAAGTTTAATAATTTCCAAATTTGCATTTTCTGTGAATAATTTCCAAGTTTGTGTTTCCTGCTTTCTTTCCAGGTGATGGCCACGATGTCACTATCCAACTCCTTAACCACAAAGACGGCGTCGTATCAGAAGATATTGAGCTCGTCAGCCGAACCGAACCTAGCAAAACTGTCAAAGTTGTACTCCATTGTCGATTCATAAGTAAGTAAACGCTTGAATTCGGTGTGAATTCAGTTTCTTTTTACTTTTTATTCCTGTAAACAATTATAAAGTTGAACAAAGAAATTGACTGAAGCAGGAATCGAACCCCGCAACCTCCCGTACGGTAATCCGGTGGTCACAGGTTAAAATCCCACTCTGGTCAATTTCTTGTTCGACTTTATAATTATTACCTTTTATCCCTCGAAGAAAAAAAGTCCTTCAAAAACCAAGCCAAAAAGGGTTTTTTTATCTGTGCAGAGAATCCATGAAAGTCATCAAACTGAAAATTTTCCTCTCAGGAATTGAAGACATTGGCTAAAGCGATGCCCAGCTTACTTTTTTGATCATGCCCAACAATACAATTTGAAGGCATTTAACCAAAACAGATGCCATGAATTTACATTGTTTATTGAACTAAAAACCGAATCCACCCTGCAAGTGATGAAATATATGTAAGATAACAGTGTGTTTATAACGATGTGTAGGACAGGCTTTTAAAACCACTTCTGTGGATAGCAAATGTGTCAAACATTGAAGTTGATAATTTGCTTTAAACCCTAACAATGTACACATATATTTCAACACGTCTGTTCTCTATGAATGAATGTGGATGCTACTAACTTGCTACACGTAACACACACATTCAGATATTTAGTCCATAATTGCACTTTCCATTTCCTTGGATATGAGACGTACATGTTCACGTACATCCACACATTTCATTCAGCAGAATTTGTTTCTGAGTTGATTTTGCTTTTGTCTGCATTTTGTATCAGTTTATTATTCTCCTTATTTTGCCATGTGAATTGTTTTTCTCATGATGTGTTGCTTGTCTGTATGCATTTTGCTTTGTTTTGCTTTTTAGCATGCAGAGTGCACGGACATACATGTAGCATTATCAGGGTAGATGCTTCTTTTTTGTAAGAGAGGTTTCACAAGGGAAAGGATACAGTTAGCGCGCCGAATCTATAGATCATTAGTTTGTGTAATCTTGTGATGTCATACGCAACTCGCTATCCGCTATGCGTGCACATGGCACATACCGTATACATGTAGGGTGCTACCGTACGTGTCAGTGCGAAACGCATGGGAAATTGTTGATTTTCACCTTCTTTTCCGGTATGGTTTGATTGAATGAGGATGAATTGCTTTCTGATGTACCATTTGTCTGTATATGAAAGCAATATTAGCCTCAGAAACCGGTACGGGGCTTTCATTGGAGGCTGCCATTTTGGATTACTGCTTTTTTGGTAACAGTTCTTACAGGGTAACTAAGTGTGTACGCGTAAACAACACAAATTAATGGAATGGCCAATAATGGTTATGGATAGATCAACATAACATGTACATGCGAATGCGTATCTGTTCAGATGTGAAACCTCTCTATTTAAGGGCCAATCTAGTCACGGTAACACTTTGCAGAATTTGAGGTACCGGTAGATGTCATTGTCGGGAGAGAGATCTTAGAATGTTCAGTACAACTTGTTGGTTGAGAGCTAGTAAAAAGGTCCTCAACTGCAGTCAGAAAATTTCTTGCAAAAAAAAAGTCCTGAGCAGCAGTCAAATAATTTCTGGCAAATAAAAATAAAGTGAGTTACAATAACTTTCTGAAACTGCCATTTGTTAAATAATTTTTTTCCCTAGCACCGCTTTTTCTATTTTGAGTGATTAATTTGACAATTTAACCAAATTTTGTAGGACCTTCTATTCCAAATACACATATTTAATGAGCTTATAGCTGTTAGATGACAAACTATGTGAAGAAATACGTAATTGTCTTACCCAAAAATTCAATGTTTTCAAAACAGTTTTGTGTCCTGCGTTCCCAAGTCTCGTACAACCCTAACGTACAAGTTTTCCTTCTCGCAAACAAAAGGTTGTTATTGTAGGCTCACGAAGTGATACCTTTGTTTATTCTGGACGGAAACATGGAGATTTGTGTTGTCAGAGAAAACACTACGGCTGTCCACTTAGCGCGTAACACAATCCCCCATCGCGGACGTGATGAACGTGTCCAACGAAAAAGAAAAAGAAAAGAGAGAAAAAAAACGGGGAAAAAAATCCATTGCCATTACCATTGCAACGTGGGAATTCTAATGGTTTTTTGTTTCGGGGGGGGGGGGGGGGGGGGGTTGATGACAGAAATGCCCAAGTTGTTCTGCAGCTCAGCATTTATCCACGGCTGTTCAAATTTGAGCTACAAGTATGCTGGGGACGAAAGCGGTTGTAACTGTTTGAGGTTGGTACGCACGTCCTCACAAAGTACACGTACTTTTGAATAGACTTCCGAAGTTTGGGATGCTTTGCTTTTGAAAGTTCTTCCAAGCTCGTAATCTTGAGTACATTGTATTTCCTCGGCACACAGTACAGTAAACAGAAAGTTTCCGTATACCGGTACATTTAGACTTTTTCAAAAATAAATTAAAAATACATGTAGATTTATGAGCAGTGCATAAATATTGGATTCGATCATAAATCTGCAGAAATTAAGTACAGGTACCGGTATATTTATTTTATTTACTTTTACTAGATAATTTCATAAGGAAATGAGAGGGAACTAATGAAATACATATACGGGCAATTCTCCATGGGAGAGCAAAAAATGTCAAAACTAAATATTTACATATTAAACCTTTTTTGTACTTTTTCCAGACCTCAATTAAATGGGGAATTCAGTTCAAAAAACGAAATTAAAAAAAAATACATATTTCTGGTAAAAACAGTGATTTTTGCAATTTATGATGAAAAACGTTCAGATTTGGTAAAAAAATAAAATTTTGTGTATGTATTACTTTCTGAATTATAGGGAAAAGATTTGATTTATTTTATGATGTTACAAGTTACTAACATTACTCAGGGTCATTAAAAAAAAATCTAAAAATCTAAATATATATATATAGATAGTGTAGGCCTTCATTTAAAAATGTCGAAATTAGCACGTAATTCCGTTACCGAAAAAATGGCAAAAGTTACTTATTTCACAAATTTTCTTGTTTTTTTTCTACAAATCATGTATGTTGAGAAAAGACCCTACTATAAACATAAATGAAAAATAAAAACTTTAAAATAGTAATTTCTTGGCATTTTTCCAAGTGGTAACGGAATTACGAAACGGTAACGGAATTACGGTAACGGAATTACGCATGCACAAAGTATGCACACTTCCCCCAGATTATGTACATGACATATTAAATAGGAGATTTGCATGTAAACCTTGGACAATAACTTTAAATACTAAATTACTTGTTAAATCATTTCCCTCTTTAATTTGCTATTATACAATTAAAAATAATCAGGTGTTCCATTGATATTTTTTACTTTTACTTTTTCTTTTTTACTATTTAAAAAATGCTAATAGTTGTTTGGATGCTTAAAGGGAATATACAACATTTGCAAACATCAGAAAATAAAACTACCAAGTTTTTACGAAATACCTTACTAGGATGTTGGTAAATGACAGTCTAAAGCATCCTGTAAAACTATGGCCGACCTGGTGTGAAGTAATTTTCAAAAAAAATTATATTTTTGTATACATTTCCAACGGTGGTCGGCCGACCACCGTTGGAAAAACCTAACTATTTTTCAACTACTGCTCCAACTTTACACTCTTTCCAGTCCAAATTTTGTTTGCTACACCTATTTGTTATGTATGTTCATGAACGGGTGCAGGCCAGCTAGTCTGGTTCCCTTACCTTCCACTTTTCCAGCATCTATAAATTGATCCATTTTACCTTTAGTGGAGTCAAGGAACCAGACTACTTGAACAGTTTTGTTTTTCTTGGTTTTCCAGCATTTTCGAACGCAAAACTTCAAACAAGTCAGTGTAACAATATTTGATCTATTATACTAACCCCCCTCAAACAGTTCATTTCTGAAAATTACAGCAAAAGCCAATGATGTACATTCCCTTTAAATATGTTGCCAAAGCCGTTGTCTGGTACCCAGAGAAAATATATTCCACAACACGTACATGTATATATGAAAGTTGAGTACCAGACTGTACTTGTACTTCTACTTGGCATAACTTAACATCTTCCCTTGCTCAGAGATGCCAACCAGTACAGTTTTATTGTATTTTCCACGATAAACTAGTGAAATACGATAATACAATTGTTCATAGTAAAATTTGATTTTCGTTAAAAAATGGCAATGCAGCCATCACCAGACTGCTTTCATTTGACCTTGACCTTTGACCTAAAAAATGTAGCCCAGACATGTTTAGGCCTACATTTACATTTTGATGTGCTTATTTTCACTGAGCTTTCCCCTTGTGGCATTTTATATACTTCTAAAATTTGTATTGTGATGAGTTTATGTTGAATTAAATGTTAATGTATTGCATTTACCTATTAAATGTAAACCTATGGCGTAATTCCGTTACCGCCCAGGCGTAATTCCGTTACCATGATTAAAATGCAAATTATGAAAAGAGTGATTATTTTTTCAACTTTGCTCTGCATTGTAGTTAACAACACCCCTGAACTCTACAAATAACAGGTAGTGTCCAATTTTAAAATTTCAAAACTTCAGAGAGTTTTATTAATTTATGCGAGAACTCAAATATGCTTGTCCTCCGTCCGTAATTCCGTTACCGATATTAAGCTCCGCCCCTAAAAGGGTAATCTTGTGGGATTTTTTTTTTTTTAGCGGTCAATCAATTCTACTGGGTCTTGGCTCCCTTTCCATGTTTAGATTAGCTGCCTAGCATTGAACATATTTTCTTGGGAAAGAATAATCCTTGACAAAGTGACAAAATTCCGTAATTCCGTTACCAAAGAATTGCCCATACATGTGTGTATTTCATTGGGTATGGATAAAATGGGCAAAAAGAATATTCAGTGACAATATCAGGCAGTGGCAAAGGAAAAAAGTTTTTTTGGAGGGGGGAGGGGGTTACCAAGTTATTTTACCCACAATATCAATTTGTTGGACGGCCTGAGACTGACAGTTTGAGTCAAGTCCACATACATTTGTGTATTGCGTGCCACCGCAAGCAGGCC